CTGTCACTTGGCTGAATTTTGATGTGTGGATAGAAGCATCGGTCACATGGGGGAACTGGATTCTCAGTTGTGGTGTGTCCATTCTGGTGTTGCTCTTGTTGTAAGGTTTTACTGCGACACTAATGCATCACTCATAGGCTGCCTAAATTTGCGAACTGTTACTGTAATATCTATTATGGACCATGGAGGCGGAAAAATCCCCTCACGTGCTAGGCTGCAGTGAAGACACACTGTATGGGCAAGAATCATTTCCAGCCATATATTAGCCAATTGATACCGTAGCACGTAGACCCAGTGCTGGGCAATGACTGTGAGATAAGCAAATATACAAGAGCCACTGCTGATCAACAGTTTCACAAACGAACATGTTCCCAGGGAATGATTGAACCAAAATGAGCAGTTTCTTTGATGTGGTCTGAGCTGAGGTGTTATAGGTGGGATAAGTTTGGTTGCAGTCAGTTATATGAGGCTTAAACTTGGTGGTGGTCATGCATATGACTGTTCAAGTGACTAGACTGCTGTCATAGCATGAGCTACTAACGATAGGACATGATCTGCTGTACTGAGCCTGGACTGACAGGGGCACTGTATATGCTGTATATACACACACATTTAATGACATGTAAAATATAAACTGTACATATTAACAACAGACTTATTACTGCTGACTGTGACTCTGGCAAATGATAGACCCATCCTCTCATCATAGACAGCGACCCACATCAACAAACCTGCAACTGTCTGACAGTAATAAAGATCTGGTCCTAAGCCCCAGATGGGTGCTTTATTCCAAGACAGGCTGGCTGGCTGACTGACCGTTGATCTTAACATAACTTTGACTTTGACTTGAATTCAGTCAGTCATTTGCCAGCCAGTAAGGATGTGAGCAGAGGACGCCGTTACGATCCGTTACCAGGAAACGACTAATGAGGAAAAAAAACTGAGAAGACTTAGTACGTGCTTTAGTGAGAAGAGTAGTGCATCAATTAGCAACAATGTTATAATTACTTGCAGTTACAATCTGTAAATATGCAATAAACCCAATTACCAATCTGAACTCCATCTACAGTCACTCCAACATATGACAATTTTTATTTTCAGATGGAACAAGTTGCGACTGCTAACAAGGAAGGAGTTCTATTGCATCAGATAAGATATTATGAGAATTAAGCTACAAAATGTAATTTGTGTAAATTTTCATATCCAGCACTAGAAAAATGAAGTACAAATTCAGGAAAAAGCATAAAGTTGAGGAAACATAAAATCTGTCACATTTTAACATTTATGTTATGAATACTATGCCGAACAATGCAAAAAGTGTGTAAACTCGTGAAAAACGTAAAATCTGAGATTGCAGAATCAAAGTTTCACTGTATTTTGATGTACGAGGGTAATTCCAAAAGTAAGGTCTCCTATGTTTGAAAATATAAAATAAACATTTATTTTCAATTTTGGATACATCAGTTGAATCTTGAACATGTACTCATTTCTCTACATAATCGCCATTTCGGTCGATGCATTTTTGTAGGCGCAGTGGCAGTTTTTGTATGCCCATGTCATACCAGTTCACCTCCATGCTGTTCAGGAAACTTCGAACCTCAGCTTTCACCTCATCGTCGTTATTGAAGCGCTTTCCAGACAAATGTTCTTTCAACTTTGGAAAGAGATGGTAGTCACTGGGCACCAAGTCCGGACTATAGGGTGGATGGGTGATGATGTTCCATCCAAACTGTTGCAGTTGAGCGACGGTTTGTCAGGCA